GTGTGTGTGCGTTTGCTAAATTGTATTGTTTGATTTTACGTGATTTATCCTGTGTGGCGGGTGCGCTGCAACTGCCTTTGTTGTGGTGCAAAGCAGATGTTCCCATCCGATTCAACTGTCTGTTGCTATTTTGGTATACTTTGTACATTTAGCATGTGTGCAGTTGTGTTAGTGTGTAACAAAGAAGACGCCATTTGGGAATATGTGTTTGCGTGATGCTAAGTGCGTGCGTGCGTATGTGTGCGTGTGATTTATAAAGTCATGGTGTAAATGCGTGGCAACTTTTGGGGATTTGCAACAATCCGTTGGCTGACGCTGCGATCCAGTGCATGAACTTGCGTACCGTGTGGGGTGCTAACAGCTTAGTGGCAGCCAGCGCTAAAATAAATGTTGGAATTATTAACAGCCACATTTCTATGCATTTCAACAAAGAAGAATAAAGAGAATAAATTTGAAGGTGTGTAGACAGATAATTCTAAGTTTTAAATGTACTTTTCAAGTATAATGTAATCAGTATAATACATAATTTTAGAGTTATTAATTAATATAATAAAAAATAGAATATTTGAAGTTCGACAGAAGGTCAAAGCTTGAACTGTCGAATTAATCCTCTGACCAGCAGTCAAAATTAATAAAACAAGAAAACCGTTACTTCGGTCCTCATAATAAAATCCAATCTTGAATACAAAAATACGATATTTTGAGCACTCTCTGCTCACGATTAAAAAGTTTACCGTTCTTCGCTTTGAAATATTTTAAGAACTTTATGTTTGAATTCCGGTTCACGGTAGTTATAGTTTTCGTTGGAAACTTGAAATTTTTAGCGGTTTTGATAGGTTTCACCACCATCTTGGTCACTGCGTAACATAATAAGAGATTCTATAGACGAAACTTAAAAGTTTAAAATATCAAGTTGAACTTTTCAAAAGAATAGTACCCTTTTTCCTTAAAGAAACGCAGACTATTGTTTCATGAAAAATTTAAAAGCTTACAAAAGCTTTCCACTATCTTCGAAGACGTTATATTTAATGTTTTGAAATATTTTGTATTAACTCATTTGAATCGGTATATGAAACTCTTATAATGCCAAACTAAATGTATTGTCGACAAAGACGCTTAAGTCTTCTTCGCATTCACATAATGCTGCTAAAAATTATGGCGAATGCATAAACTTTAAACTTTATATTCCAAATATTCGCAGTAGTTCACATGATTACGCCAAATTAAGCCCTTAAACCGAGTAGAATCGGCAATATTCTGTTACTTGACTGATTCCTCTCTACTAGTGTCGTCGCAATGGTTGAAGTTGCAAATTTCTTAAAACAAAAGCGAACACGGTTTTCACTTAACAAGTTTGTTATATAATTTCTTCAAACTTCAGTCTTCGTGCTAATTCCGCAATGCCAGCAACAGAACGCTAATTTAATTTTATCTTTAAATCCTTCACTTAAGAAACTAAATAACAACTTTATGAAAAAAATGGCTAGAAAGTAAAAACACAAAGCAAATCCACCACAAATCTATTCTATTATTCTTAACCCATTTTTCTGCTCTGCGCTTTTCATTCACAGTTTCTGTTTTTGTTATATATTTTTCTGGTCCTGTTCTGTCGCAGGCAGAAAAGTTTAAAACTTTTGCTAGTTAAAATTCATTAAAGCTTAACCGCAGCTTTTTGCCGCTCATTTCACTGGTGGCTTGACTTTTGAATGCATTCGTTGGCATCCGCCTTCCCTCGTCTACACATCCGCTTAGCATACCCTTTACGCTCAACTTCCATTGGCCATTTCACTTGTGTCCAACTAACTATCAACAATCCCAGCAAAATCACACATAACCGCAGCTCAGTTACAAAAACAAAAATTACAAAAGCATGCATACACGCTTCACTATACATATCAATGTCGGTGTGTCTGTGTGTGTGTGTGTGTGTGCTCTAAGCCGACGCAGCCTGTGCATATACCCAAAGCGAGATGCTCTGTTGTTGTACTTTAAAAAAGTGTCCCATTTCAGATCCTATTTTAGTTCCCATTGTGACTCGTCTGAAATATGCTTGCGTATGCCTGTGTGTGTGAGCTGTTAGTGTCGCTAAACTTTGCTCATATATTATTCTCAAGTTGGCAACACTATTTTGTAGCAACACGACACGCAACACAATAACTTGGTTTTACTGACCCACAAGTGGATGTTGGAGGCGAGATCAGGAGGCGGTCAACGGACATCCGCTACATCATCGTACATATTCACAGTTCACACAAGTGCTGTGTGTGTGGGTGTGTGTGCGTGGGTTGGTGCCAACGGAAAACAAGTCAAACACCAAAGTCACCTGCGGTGTGAAAATGCCCGACAAAAATGTGTACCGGAAAACTTACATGCTCTGGGATGTGCTTTGTGTGCTTGTACGAGTAGCCTGGGTGCCGTGTGTGTGTTTGTCTCGTAACTTTGCTGCTAACCGTGCAGCAAATTGCGGGTGTGAGAGTTTTAAAATATGGACATTTTTAACTTTTTTACGGCTCTTGGCACTAAGTAGCTCCGAGCTCGTTGGTCTCTTAAGCCGTCGTAATTCATTAGTTGACCAGTTTATCGTGATGGCCCAGGAGGTGTGTGAAGCATACGTTGTCTGCCAATTGGCTGCGGCTGCCGTAGCTACCTTTAGGTATACGCAAAAACACTTAAGTGCTATTAAGGGTTCTACTTGTAGTTATTGATTTGCTAATCTTTTTCGTTTATTGAAAACCAAACCATTGAGTTTGACAACGCTTTGTTTAGGTGGTGCGTATGGGCGCTCTAGGCTATTTGAGCAGCGATTGCTTTTGATATTTGAATGAATGTATAAGTAGAGAGAAATTTTAATAAATGGGTTTGAGGTAAGAGGTTTTGGAGATTTACACAAAATTTTCAACTAGATTTTAGAGAGTTAATCTCTCATTGACATCTACGTTATGACTAATTCACTATATCTGTCTTGTGTCGTATAGCTCCGCAAATTTGCACAAGGTTCACACTGAGACTTTTGATCTTCTGCTGGCCTCTTGATTTGACTTCAAACTTTTTGGAACTTTGATATTTCAATATCAAATTTCTCTCCAGGTTAGCTCTGACTGGCCTTTTCGTCAGCTGCTTTATGGATTCCAGTCGAAACGGATCCGGGTGTTTTTCTCTGAATCTCTTCTTAGAACATGTCCGAGCCAGCCAGCTTTCTTTTGGGAAACCACAGCGTTTAGCAAAACTCTTGAATTTCCGTTAAAAACAAAGTCTGCGAAGAGAGCTGCGTTCGGAGATCTATTTATCGGAATCCTCTTTGCCTTATTTATATTTTCAAACGATAACAAACATTTTCTCCAGTTTACCTTAGTTTTGAGTCGCTTTAAGGGTTTAAAGGTTGAACAAACCCATCTTATAAATTCAGAAATCTAGCCATCCATGGTTTCACTGTGAAAAGCATTCGCCAAAATGCGTATCATTGGAGTCTACAGCTGCCTCCCGAGACCCACATAGATGCTGGCATAACATAGTGCAGAAATCAATATTTTTATATCAGTGTATATATATTATAGCGCCTAAAAGTATGCAAAACTATTGCGATTTCTATATTATTCTTACATGTCAGAGAGATAGCGAGAATAGGTGGATATAAAAACGCTCGCCAAGATTAATCACCATACATCATTGAGGTTTCAAACTTTATCGTATCGAAATCCAAAAGAAAAGATCTCTTGTTGCTTAAGTAAAAATCGGTTATAAAGTTGGTACAAATTTTCAGTTGGTTTGGCTGAAACTTTTCCAGTTTTCCAACTCAAGCCGAAGGTAAGATAATAATGATTGTAGTACAATATTTCAAATTGATTGAAAAACAATACCTAAATCTCTTTCATAACACAATTTGTATGTCGATGATTTAGAATCATTTTAATTAACTTTTATATAATTACTCGGTTTGTTCGAACCTCGTTTTAGTATTGTTTAACCCTTATTTATCAATTTTTATGGCAACTGTATATATATATAATTATAAAAATTTGTTTTATTAAATTCACAAAATTTTGGATTTGAAGCGATAAGAACACCGTGTACACAAATCTTAACTAATACCAAAATATTAAATCCTTTTGTACTACCTTTTTATTATCTTCATTGATAAACATTATTACTCTGCCGCTTGTAACTCCCCACACGTTTACAGCTCATCACACTTTGCCTTGATCATATTCAACGTGACACTACCCACATTTGCCGATGCATTGTTCAACAACTCGAAGATATGCATGTTCGCACTGCCATTACGCGTGTCATCAAAGAGGGCTTGCACCACGCCCTGATAGGCGTTATAGCGTTCGCTATTCTCCCAATCGCCCTTAAACTCCACATACAAGCGATGCACATCAAAGAGGCGTTGTGACGCCGCATCGTACTGCAACGGCGTTTCCTGCGCACTCGTTGGCCATGGCAATAGCTTGCGCCAAGTATCGTGTAAATGCTCGAGGAATTCAAAATTACTGAACATGAATGTGATAAAGAGATCGACGCCTTTGCGTTGCAATTTCGCCAGCATTTCGGCCAAGTCTTCGTTTGCATATTGCGAGTTCTTAAATTGCTCATAATCGCTAGAGAGGTCATTTTCGAGATAACGGTACAAACGATTGCGTTTCGCATAGAAGTCATCAATGGCGAGTATTGCATCAATTTCGGTCAACACTTTGTTCAGCTTGCTGGCGTGCAGTGTATGAGACTCGGCAGTGGAAGGTTCCTCTTTACCCTCTTCATTTTCCGTTGATGACATAGCTGAAATGTGCTTTTCTTCAATGACCTCCTGCAACAGCTTGCGCACGGTGAACAAATAATCATCGATTAACTCCACGCCGGCCGCTTTTACATTTGCATACAGCAGCCGCGCGAAACGTTCGAGCTCGATGTGCGCCAAGGGCGTTGCGGCCGATGAGGCGACTACAGTTTCGGCACGCAATGGCGCCAACTTGACATTCGCCCAGTAGTGCGCCGCGGGTGGTGGCGGCGTGGCTTTGTGTGCCGCCGTTTGCGTTTGATTCAACAGGACATTGCGATACCAAAATTGTCCGCATAAATTGTACCAGCGTAGATGACGCAGCTCTGTGGCGCTCTCGTCCTGCAGTTGCAATAGTTCACGCTTCAATTTACCGAGAAAGTTTAAATTGCGCAGCGTGTAATAGTTTTCGACGCTGTGTGGCGACTCGTTCAACTTGAGGTCGAGCAGCTGCTTGAGGTAGACGATTTTCGGCATGAGTTGTGTGGCGCTGGCGGCCGCCTCGATGCGCGTCACATAGGCGACATATTCTTTGCTGGCGCGTAGCTCCTGCAGTAATCGATTGAGATGATCGCCGGCGGCTGTGTCCACCAAAGCGTTGAGCTCATCAATGAAATGAGTTTGGAATTTGCGGCTCTTGATGTCGGCGTGTGGCAACAGAATGTTGGGTTGCTGGGTTGGGATGTTGCCGCTGGTGGCCGCGGTGCAAAGCTAAAAACGGAAATGAGAGTTTGTGTTTATTGTGTTTTAGGGGATATAGAACTATGAGTATTTACCAATGGTGACTGTGAAATGAGCAGTAGGAAGGAAAAAGCGATTAATCGCCTCATATTGCTGTTTGATGTGTCAAATTGGAGATGTAACTGTGGTTTTGTGCTTCAAATATTTTTATATTGTATCCTAGCTCACACGTAGAAAATTTTTTTGTTCAAAAATCTGAAACTTTCTTTAGCTGTTTTATTAGCGCGTTTGTTTTGACTGCTCTTTTAAGATCTATATTTTCAAAAAATCCAAATTTTTCAAAATTACGGCGCAGTAATTCTTATCTTCATATTTTTTAATTTCTTAATTATTTTAATATTTATTTCATTAATTTTTATTTAACATTTTGTTACTGTATTTCAATTACTACTTAATTCACTTTATTTTATTTTTGTGCTGCTTGAGCTGGATCCAACCTCTCGCTTAAACTTGACGATTCGCTATGTTTACATTTTCGCACTGAAGCTCTATCAGCGAACTGGCAAAAGCTGCTCTGTTGCTTCTAAGCGCAATTACATTATTTATTTATAAACTCACATATGCAAATACAACGTTGGGGTTAAGCGGGTCCCGCTTATTTTGCGCGCTACTCAACAAAGCGCTTATCAAAAGGCGGCGATAACGCGTCGGCAGCTACAAACTCTCATACTTTTTACATATTCCACACAACTTGCATAATGTATATATTTTTGTTTACATTTCTATACATAAGGGTATATATTTATGTATATGTATATATATAAAATTATGTTTTAAGATTTCTGTGATTTGTTTTTAAAGGAGGCATTGACATTGACCTACATACCTACATATGATTACATATTCACTAATTAAATCAAAAATACTTCAAAAGAGTAAAAAGGTGAAAGCTTATTATTATTTCATGAGCTTATAAAGTATTATAAAGCTTTGCTGTAGTTGTGCTTATATGAAAGCTTTTCGAAATTATCACATGGTTTTATGATATGTTGAATGCCATTGAATCTTGCTGAGAACAGTGCTTAGACAAGATCATCTTATGAGATGAGTGTCAAAATTTTTAAGTAATTTTTGTTTGCAGAAAGTTTAAATTATACTTTCACAGATCTCTAATAAAGCATTGCTGCGAAAAATTAATCTTCAAGAAAAATTGTAGACCTACTCGTAGTGTAGACCGGACTTGGAATTATCAATATCAACAAAAGTAACCTACTTAATTTTGAGAACTCAGTTATTCTAGTAGTAAAAATATAGTCTATAAATTAGCTAAGAATGTCAGAGAGGTTCATTAGCGAATTCGTAGTTGCCAGAATGTTCTAGTAGCGAAGTTTTGTTAATGTTTACTATATACAATAAGGGCTGTCGGATTGTGCAGCAAACACAGTTCTTGTTAGAGTGTTGACGTGTGAAGAGCAATTGAGATATAAGAGGTGTGTTGGAATGAAAATGTGAATTTTGGGTTTTCCTCGGGCTGTGTACATTCGATTATCGATATTTTGTTTTTGTTATAATCGGTCACATATGTAGGTTTATCATGAGTATGCATTAGAAGCCAATTTCGATTAGTAGTTTGTTGTATCACATAGCAAGCGGCTCATTACATTCAATTTTCTCGAATGTATAACGTGTGGAAGCGAAGTTTGTTCCGAAATTGATAAATTTTGAGCAAAAGCAATGTCGCATTAGTATCTCTCAGTAGTTGTTGAATGACGTCAACAATGATCCGAATTTGCCTAAACGGGTCATAACTGGTGACGAAATATATATATATTATATTGTTATGACGTCAAACCCAAGGCCCAATCATCCCAATGGAAGTGTTTTGCTACAATTAATGAGATCAAGTCAGAATCGAAAAAACAGCTGATGGCCATACCAAAAGGCGCATATCAGAAGTGCTTCGAGGATTGGAAAAAGTGTTGGTACAAGTGTATTATATTCGATTAGGATTTCCTTTGGAGATGACAAAATAGATATTGATGAATAAATAAGTACTTTAAAAAAAAAATTCAAAATTAACGTGTTTTCTAAACTTAAGAAAATATTTTTTGTAAGTTAGAAAATTTATTAGTATACTATTTTTTTAACCAGTAGCAACTCTGCTTAAATATATGAGCAGTCTTTAATGTAATTCACTTCTTTATTAAAGCTTAATTGAAATCAGGATAGTGAGTTTCGGAAATGTTCAAAAGGATTGCCACCTGGTAGAAAAAGATACTTAATTCAAAAGCTTATTCAAGAATAGATTTAAATAGAGATTTGTCTTATCGGTGGTTTCATTTAGTTCATTCAAATGTTTTATTTAGTTTACTCCTAACTTTTTGCCGTCAGCGATTTTACGCGTTTTATTCATTCGCGAACTTAAAAGAACTAATTTTCATACTAAATATTAAGTTTACGATGAAGTTTGTAAGACCCAAAAAAGAAACGTCGGAGACCCAATAAAAATATGTTGTATAATATAAATTAGTAGAGTGATATTATACGCAAAAAGTCTCTCAGTTTTTGAGATATCGACCTGAAATTTGGGGCACGAACTTTTTCTTCCAAGAAGCTGGTCATTTGTTGGAACTGTCGATATCGGACCACTATACAATATAGCTGTCATATAAACTGTATTATCAAATGCAAGTCCTTGTATCGAAAACTTTTTTATTTGTCAAGATATCAGCACCAAATTTGGTACTTACTATTGCCTAAAGCTGTGGTAAAATCTTCGAAGAAATTGCTCAGATCGGACCACTATAGCATATAGCTGCCATATAAATTGAACGATCAAAATTAAGTACTTATGTAGCAATTTTTTTATATGTGTAGGGTATTACATGGTATATAATTATACAATTTTTTCGAGTTTTTTTCTATCAAAAGTTTTAATATATATCTTTTAGTTACATAGGTATGCTTAATCGCTTTGTTATTTCAAGAATGTTCTCCTTTTAATACTTCTTTCCTCGTCGTTTCATTAATTTCACTCATTTCATTAAGTTCGTTCATCATTCAGCAGGAAATTTCATGAGAATACTCTTGTGCAAAGCAGTAACATTTACTTCTCAAAAATGCAACTCTGCCACTTTCAAATCTTATCTTAATTTCATAACTATGCTTGTTGCAAGCACTTCAAGGTAACTTGAAAAACTTTTCAAAATTAAATTCAAATAATTTTGCAGATTTTTTTCTGGTTTGCTGTTTTTGTTGTTGTGGCAAGCGTATACATTGTGGAAAATTGCACTAATTAATTGCAAGCAAAGTTGCATAAAAGTTTTCTTCATAATTTTTTGGTTATTATCTGCGTGCAACTACCAACTTGCAACGGGCAACTGGTAACTGGCAACTTGCAACTAAGCTAATACATACTTTCAGTTTAATTAGATGGCACAAACAATGGTCGAGTGAAAAAGTGCAGACGCACGTGCCACCGAGCGAGCTGCCAGCAGTTATCTGCGAGAGTTAGCAGCGTGCGTGCTTCCGAAGTGCAGACGAATGTAGTACGAGTAGCTGTGATATGCGCATATGACTGCGAGTGTGTGACCGCAAACGCATATGTGTGTGTGCATGTGTGCACCGCAATTCAAGGCAAAATGAAAGCGAAGAAGTTTTACTGCAAATTGGGCCAAACGCCCGTTAGTAGACTACACTGACGCAGCCAAATGACAGAGCATAAGCTGAGCGGAGGGTGAGAGACAAAGAGTGGGCCAACCAAACAAATATTGGACACACAAAGCGACGTGGTGGCTAATCGCACCTAAAAAGAAGTTGCTGAATTGCAGAAAGTCAGCTTGCAGTTGCTGCAAAAAATTCGTATGAGCGTGTGCAGCAAACAAAGGAAACCGAAAATAGGTTCTATAGCATTAGAATTGCATATAAGCATGTATGTTTGTGTACTACAAGTATAAATATGTATATCAATTGTATTTACTCTTGGAGATCTGGCAGCGTAAGGGTCGGCATATGTCGGAGAACAAATGGACCTGATCAAGATTGCGCCGAAACGGAGCTTCTAATATGTGGTAATGTCTCTTCATAACAGTGAGCATGTATATAATTACATATACAATACATACACAGATACGTACACATGTGTGCATTTCATTACCTACATCCCGCTGCTGCCCTCACGTACCGTCTGCAATTACACCAGCTTTCCAAATATTTACCACGTGCGCTTCTAGCAAATCTTTAGTCTCCGCCTTTAGTGTTATTTTCGCTCGGGTCCTTTAACAACACAACAACAACGTAGCAAAAAGTAAAAGTTCACAGTAATCGCAGCATCCACAACAAAGTTTCCAAGTAAAGTTCAGCTTTCTTTCTGCTGTCGTCCACCTTTTCTTTACACAAAAGTTCATTTTCCTTGCATTGACACGTGACATTGTGTTGCAGCAAGCGTCCAGCACAAAGCGTCACAACAAATATGCAACAAAGTTAAACGAGAATAGCGTGCGAACAGAACGGAGCCAATGTAATGGACAAGACTGGAGTTTATTAGGTTTATTTGTTTGGGATGCTGTTGTTGTTGCTTGTTGACTTTTTGGGAAATTTATTTTTGGAGCATACATTTTGTTATTCAGACCTGTCGCTTTATTCGGAAATGTCGACGTCTGCAAACATTTTTTGAGAGGTGAGTTTAAAAGTTAACTCCACTTTATGAAAAAAAATAACGGAATTTACAAAGAGCACATATTTTATGTATACATATATATCGCAAAATAGCTTTTAATTTATAAGTGGCTCACTAACATTTCAGCTCACGAATGATTTTGAAAAGTATATATTTAATATAAGATTACTACTGTGATAAAATGGACCTAGCGATGCGTGGTTTATTGATAAAGAAACTAATATTTTTTTAAGTTTTTTTAGTCTCTGCTCGCTCAAAATTGTGATATAAACTTGAGTCAAGACAAATCAGACAAAACATAGATGAAAGAACTGGTATTAATTCTTCTTCGAAAAATCTGACTTTAAATGCCGACACTATTTTTCAAAAAGTCGGAGCTCGGACTCTCATCTAGCAAAAGATGTTAATGGCTACGTTTGAGCTCTGTGAACGCTGATCCACAACAAGCTCTTGTACGTGATCTTAATGTAAAATGCTGACGGTTCATTGAACTTCAAGCTTTTAGCATTGTGTACATATATTTATGAAATTCTAGAGATTTTAACCGGATAGCGCCCAACGGTGAGGCTACATCGCACCATTACCTCCTTGGCGATCCAGCTTTCGCTCTAATAAGGCTGACATATTTTGAATCTTATACCTTAGGTGAGCCGGCCTAATTGGCTCCAATTGTTATTAGTCGACTCAACTAATTTGTGATAGGCTCAAAGCACTTCGTCCATAAATGAGAGTATCTTATATAGGATTTTGATATCATAAATAATCCGTGTTTCAACCGTCCAAGGGCGAGTACCGTGATCTAAGTCGTTGGAATCAGCTCCTAACTTGGTACTTCTTGCAAACCCATTGCTTATATTTTCTGATTCTCTCACTTAAAGTTTCTAGTTTCCACGTCATTAAGAATGGCAAACATTTTTAACTTGTCTCAGTAAGTTTGTTTATACTTCGGCCTCACACGTAACTTATTTGTTCATGCCCTTCCTCGGCTCAGGAACCTTCTAATATCCAAATAGTAAGCAACGCTTCGCTTTTGTGTACATTTGGTATATTGCTAACAAGATTTGATTACGGTTTCATGCCTTAACTTTTCTCAAAGTCTCACTCATTTCCATCAGAAATTTTACTTATCAAACTTTTAAAGTAATATTGCTTTAATCTTTAACGTTTTTGCTATATTTATATAACTTTTTATTAACCTTAT